ATCAGTTAACTAAACGAGGAAAATGAAATCGAAGTTTGAACGTAATGCGATTTATGAATGCACTAAATTTAGAAGGCAATTTAACTACTAGTTAGGGATCTAATATGGGAAGCTTTCTGCTATCTGCAATTATTTCTTAATGATGTCTTTCCCAAATTAGTTTTTTTGTTCCGTTCCTTTCATAGATTTAGCTCTTACATCCCTCTCCCTCCAACTCCTTATTAAGCAACTTATAGATCCAATCAATAATTAATTTCAGCAATTTCAGAATGCATACGAATTGCTGCTCTGAACTGTATGTTTGTCTGTTCTTCTTGGAAATTGCAACCAATTTTTAAACGATTTTTACTATAGCTCGACTGTCCTTATTTCTTTGTTCTATACGGGGTGTTCTTTTACTATCTGAATGAGTGGATGTGTGAAAACTTGCTAATATTGTCTTGAATGTCTTCTGAAGCAGTGAAGAAACAAGCAAGAGAAGGTTCCAAAGAATTAAAGATTTCAAAGTTGTTGAGAGGGCCCTCCACATTCCTTTTCGTGATAGGGTTTTGAACTGCAAACCTTCGTTAAAACTCGTGCTGGTTATTATTGTATTAGGAACCATAGTGACTCTCTTCCATTCACCTGCAGTTCATGTTTCAGATCATCCATTAAAAGGATCTCGGTAGGCCATTTTTATTACTCAATTTGCTTTGAAGTGCTTTTGTAAAATTCAGCTTGTTATATTTCCCAAATGTTATAGTATCTCTATATTCAACTTCCTAGCTTTAGTGGTTATGAGAAATAAAGAAGAAATGGAAAGGAATGTTAATGGAGAATATGAAACTGGAAGAAGAAACACAAAATCAGGAAACTAGATAAGAAAACTAATGATGATAGGGGAATCTGTTGGTTGCAAATTATGTAGAAGGTTATGATAATCTGAACACATTTCTGTTAGGGATATGGCTCTTATCGATTTCATTATTATCTGGTTTTAGTTTACCTCATCTATCTTCTTCTCAAAGTAGGAGGTTGTGAAGTTTATAACCTTAACTTCTCTTTGAGGACAGTATTCTTGTGAAGTTAATATTTACCCGTGATAACTTGTGTGCTTGAAATTCTAGAATCCAGTTTTGCAATATTTAAGCGAGAAGCTTGGTGCTCACTTGTGAGTTCTTGTTAGCAGATGGACAGGTAGAGATGCTCGTTATATGTCCTTGTCAGAAGTCAACTGGGATGAGATTTCTGATGTTGTCGAGTCACTGACTGACCGGAACAAGTATCAGGGAATTGGTTTGCTCAACTTTAATGATAGTGAGGTTGACCACTGGAAAGAACTCTTTCTGGAAGCAGAGCATGTTGTTCTTCGTCTAGAACATGGAGCCAACAATTTAACATGGGAAGCCCTATACCCCGAATGGATTGATGAGGAAGAAGAGTTTGAGGTCCCCTCTTGTCCTTCTTTACCACAGCTTCAGATTCCTACAAAACCCCGTATAGATCTTGTAGCCGTGAAGCTGCCATGTGACAAATCAGGTCAGTGGACAAGAGATGTGGCTCGGTTGCACTTGCAACTTGAAGCAGCTAGGGTTGCTGCATCTGCTAAAGGAAATCGTTATGTGCATGTACTGTTGGTGACCGAATGCTTTCCTATCCCAAATCTCTTTCGATGCAAAGAGCTTATCACACATGAAGGGAATGTATGGCTTTATAGACCTAGCTTGAATATCTTGAGGGACAAACTACGGCTCCCCATTGGGTCATGTGAACTTTCAGTTCCTCTAAAGGCTAAAGGTACTTGCTATTACTTTATGCGTAATGTCCAAAACTTTTTTACTTCCTCTTTAGTTGTTATGGGATTGATATGTTCTATTAACTTACCTACTAGAGAAACTTCTCTTAGCATATTATCTCTATTGGGCTTACCCCAAAGACTCTACTAGTTTAATAGATAGGCTTGTTGTAGTCGCTCTTTGGGGCGCTTTAATCGTTAAACATCTGTTTATCAATTATATTCTGTGCATCAAACCTGGTAGATATGTACAGGCTGGAAATGCACAACAAAAATAAAGGATTAGGTGTGTTACTGCTATATTTAGTGACTGACCAACTAAAAACTTCGTGAGCAGAATACTTTTACTCAGAACGAGCAAACAGAGAAGCATATGCAACAATTTTGCACTCTGCACATGTATACGTCTGTGGAGCTATTGCAGCTGCTCAAAGTATCCGCATGACTGGTTCGACACGAGATCTTGTAATACTTGTTGATGAAACAATTGGTGAGTACCACAGAGGAGGCCTGGAGGCAGCTGGTTGGAAGGTCCATACCATCCAAAGAATCAGGAACCCAAAAGCTGAACGAGACGCGTACAACGAATGGAACTACAGCAAATTTCGTCTTTGGCAGTTGACAAGCTATGATAAGATAATTTTTATAGATGCTGACATGCTCATTCTTAGAAATATTGATTTTCTCTTTGAGATGCCTGAGATAACTGCAACAGGGAACAATGCAACATTATTCAACTCGGGAGTTATGGTGATCGAACCATCAAATTGCACGTTTCAGTTGCTGATGGATCACATCAATGAGATAGAGTCTTACAACGGTGGTGACCAGGGGTATCTAAATGAAATCTTCACATGGTGGCATCGCATACCGAAGCACATGAACTTCTTGAAGCACTTCTGGGAAGGTGACGAGGAAGAGAAGAAGGAGATGAAGACTCGCCTTTTCGGAGCCGACCCTCCAATCCTCTATGTCCTCCATTATTTAGGTAACAAACCATGGATTTGCTTCCGGGACTACGATTGCAATTGGAATGTAGACCTTCTACAGGAGTTTGCTAGCAATGTTGCACATAAGAGATGGTGGAAGGTGCACGACGCCATGCCCGAAAACCTGCAGAAATTCTGTTTGCTTCGATCCAAGCAAAAGGCGCAATTGGAGTGGGACCGAAGGCAGGCGGAGAAAGGTAACTTCACCAATGGTCACTGGAAAATAAAGATCAAAGACCCTCGTTTGAATACATGCTTCGAAGATTTTTGCTTCTGGGAGAGTATGTTGTGGCATTGGGGTGAAACAAACTGGACAGACAATTCTACTGTCACTCCATCTCCAAGTATCACTACTTCAGTTTCCCTCTCATCTCTGTAAACTTTTTTGTTTTTGTTTTACTTTTGCATTTATATTATACCTATGACAGTAGATAGAAGTGAAATTTACATATAGAGAAAGTGCTTCTTGTTCTTGTTGCTGAAATTCACCGTTCTAGTTTTGCCTCGATGGCTTTCTTGGGAAACTGCAACTCAGAGAAATGTAAGGAACTGTTCCAAGTGTTGTTTTCATCTCAGAAACAATTTGCTCCTGTTTCCTTGAGCAAATGCTTAGTAAATACTTGGTGCATAGATATGCATCTGATTGATGGTTTTCTTATGTTGTTACACTTTAGTCATATTTATGTTCTAGTCGATCACGGGTCGATTAAGTTAAATTTAGACGAGGTTAATATCATACAGCTACAGTATCATCCCTAACGTGGCGAATGGAGTTGTCTCCTCTGTAGAAGATGCATCCATTTCTAGACTAGCTCCAAAACATAGAATCCATAGAGTTTTCATTCGATTTACCGAGGAAGGAGGCCTAAAAAAGGATCTAAAATTGCAAGGCCTAAGCCTTTGACATTTCTGCGTCGAACTCTCAATGGGATATTTTAGAACTTTCTTTGTAATCACTCAAATCTATCATTAGTCGATATTGTCTTTTTTGGACTTTTCCTTCTAAACTTCCTCTCGAGATTTTAAAACACGTCTGCTAGGGGGAGGTTTCCACTCCCTTATAATGAATGTTTTGTTCCCCTCCTCAACCGACATGGGATCTCACATTCTTACTATCAACTTCCCAAATTCAAGGCCACCCTTTTCTTGTTTCAACGTCGTGTACTTGTGGGCACGAACGATATACTCATTCTCTTAACATCGAACGTTTAAAGCTAATGCATCTCCATATTATAGTTATGGTACCTTGTCTGCAAGGAGCAACGTGAGACCGACAGATGCAGGCATCAATTGGTCGTTGGTAGAAAAGGACCAATCAGCCTCTTTCACAGCGTGCTTGGTAGTGTAAAAAGATCTCAAGAAAAAAGGAAAGAAATGGTAGGACCACAAGGGTCGAAACGCCTCCTTTTTGTCGCCACCTTTAACTTTTATAAACACTCATTAATTAATTACCAATATAATTCATTAACAATCTTATTTTTTTCCACCAAAATTAATAAAAATATCTTTAAACGCTGTCATTATAAAACTTTCAAAAATTTTAATGATACGCTCAAACTTTAAAAAATGAGTTCAAAAATTGTGATGTTCCACGTTGGTTGGAGTTGGTTGGAGATGCGTGTGGAAACCTTTCCTTAAGAGATGCGTTTTAAAACTTTGAGGGGAAGGAAAAGCCCAAAGCTCGAAAGGAAAAGCCCAAAGAAGACAATATCTGCTCGGGGTGGATCTGGGTTTTTACAAAAAGTTAATACCCAGTTTCAAAAAACAATTTTATGAAAATAGTTAATACCCAGTTTCAAAAAACAAACTTTTATTAATAAATGGGACTATGTTTTAAAAATACCCATTAACTTTTAGAAGAAAATAATTTTTTTTTTATCGAGATCTGATGTATGAGAAGCAAATATACCGTTTTGGTCTGTATAATGACAGTAAGAAATTTTAATCGAAGGTATTAATGAAACTTTTTGCAAATCAAAATTATTTTCTAAACATTTTTAAAAATTCAAAATATTTTTGAAACAAAATATTGACGATATTGGTTCGGAACCGTAAAGAAATTTTAGATTGAAAAGAGGGCGAGGGGGTTGGTGCGTGGGTGTGTTCATGCACCATTGTCATGTCTTTATAAGAACCCATCGATGTATTACCTTTTCAAAGGCACCATAAAAGGAAACATATCCACTCCCAATTCTCTGGACATTATATTTTCAGCACTGATGGGGCTGTTTGGAGCCATGGAGCGGTGGAGAAGCCTTGGGGCTGTGTGGGGTTGGCTCTTCATCGTCGTCTTACGGGTGGCAGTCGAGGGCTTCCCGGCCGAGGATCTGGTCGGGAGGCTGCCCGGCCAGCCAAACGTCACTTTCAGACAATTTGCAGGCTATGTCGATGTCGATGTCGATGCCGGGAGAAGCTTGTTTTACTACTTTGCTGAAGCTCAGCAAGATGCCCATCTCCTGCCCCTTACTCTCTGGCTCAATGGAGGTTCGCTTTCTTTATTTACCGTTTGAATTTGGAATCACTTCTTAAACATATCATATCATAACATATATGTAGGGCCCGGTTGTTCGTCTGTGGGCGGCGGTGCGTTCACGGAGTTGGGGCCATTTTATCCGAAAAGAGATGGTCGAGGGCTTCGAAGAAACTCGATGTCTTGGAATAGAGGTATTAAGAAAGTCACTAAATTGTTCATATGTTAGTTTCCCAAGTTTGTTGTAGAATTGTTATTAATGTGCTGAAATTACTTTATTAGCCTCTAATCTGCTGTTTGTGGAGTCTCCTGCTGGGGTAGGATGGTCATACTCCAACACATCCTCGGACTACGCTACGGGCGATTCCTCTACGGGTTTGCTTTCCTAAACTTTCAAATTTGTATCGTCAACTTTCTACTTTGTCTAATATAGCCTTAAATTTTTTTAAAAAATTTAATACCCTTAAATACCATATTTAAAAAATACTCGTAAACTTTTAAAAATAGTTTCAACAATACCATTAATATATAAACAAAAACCATTAAAAAAAAATTAGGAGCAGTAGTGAAATTTTTGAAAGCTTAAGAATATTTTTGAAATAACGGTTTCCATTTTAAGACTATTGAATTATTTTTAGAGTTAATATTTTTTAAATAAAATAGTATTTTTATTAATTTTGGCACCGAGGGACATGCTCACCTTCATGTTAAAATGGTACGAAAAGTTTCCTGCATTCAAAGATCGGCCATTTTTCCTCACCGGAGAAAGTTACGCGGGTAAATCCAAAACTACAAACAAAACTAAACTCGCAGTTTAATTGCTCACAAGCACTCAAACATATTTAATTTGACGCAGGTCATTACATTTCTCAGCTAGCCAATGCAATACTAGACTACAACACTAATTCAAACGCCTTCAAGTTCAACATCAAGGGAGTTGCCGTAAGAACACCAACCCAAAAATCAAAACCCATTTGATCCATAATTTGAATTTGTTAAGGAAATTTAATACTAAACTATAGTTTACCATATATATCATATTTGATATTTGCTTCTTATTATTAAGTATCTTTACATTTATTACCATTTTCATATTCTGGTAATTCATTTGATTATAAATAGATAACTTTCACACACATAAATTCTTAGAATCATGTGTTTGTTGGTAATGGATCCCGTAGATTGGGAACCCATTGCTTCATTTGGACAGGGACGCACCAGCGGTGTACGAGTTCTTTTGGTCGCATGGCATGATCTCCGATGAAGTGGGGCTCGCAATCATGAGAGACTGCGATTTTGAAGATTATGTGCTGACCAATCCACACAATGTCAGCAAGTCATGCAACCAAGCCATGGGCGATGCCAATCGCATCGTGGGTGATTACATTAACAACTATGGTGTTCTTTTTGATGTTTGCTATCCATCCCTTGTCCAGCAAGAGCTCAGATTGAAGAAATTGGTTCGTGTTAACCGTTTTTCGGGTTCGAATCTTTTGACCGTTTCAGGTATAATCGAACTCTTTTTTCGGTTGTTTTTGCAGGCGAGTAAAATGAGCATGGGAGTTGATGTGTGTATGAGCTATGAAAGGCAGTTTTATTTGAACTTGCCGGAACTTCAAGTGGCTCTTCATGCTAATCGTACTAAGTTGCCTTATGAATGGTCCATGTGCAGTGAGTAAGCCCACATCCTATTGATTCACTCTACTTAATTTCATATAATTTTGGGTAAAAAATACTCTTAAAATCTTTAAAATATTTTGTTAATAATAAACCTTTAAAAAAAAAAATTTTAAACACTTTTAAATTTTTTTAGAAATTTGAAAAATACTTTCGGGATAAAATTGTAAATATCACCTTTCAAAAGAAACATTAATATAATTTTTAGAAAAATAAATAATTTTTTTTACGTTAGTATCTTTAAAATTAGAGAGAGAGGTTTATAAGATATTTTGAAATAAAATATTAATGATTTCCATGGAAAGCTATTTTTTAAAAAAAGAATATTAAAAATTTGAAAGAAATTATTAAAATTTTTGAAAGTTTATAAGTATTTTTTTTAGATAAAGGATAAAATTTATAAATATTTGTATTAATTTAACCTAAAATAAATTATTCGCGGATGTTATAAACACAATCTAAATCATGATTTTTGGTACATTTGAGCAGTATATTAGATTACAATTATAATGATACGAGCATCAACATGCTTCCAATACTGAAGAGAATAGTCCAAAATCACATCCCAGTTTGGATCTTCAGGTACATTTTCAATTATCATTGGTTTACAGATATTTGAGATGATAATTAATGTCTTATCTAAAGAGCCAAGACACTAATGAATGAATGTACAGTGGAGATCAAGATTCAGTGGTGCCACTAATGGGATCTAGAACGCTAGTTCGAGAGCTAGCTAATGAGCTTAAATTCAAGATCACAGTACCGTACGGAGCTTGGTTTCACAAGGGACAAGTGGGCGGGTGGGCGATCGAGTATGGCAATATACTGACATTTGCAACGGTTCGTGGGGCATCCCATATGGTACCCTACGCCCAGCCCTCTAGATCTTTACATTTGTTCTCTTCTTTTGTTCGAGGGAGGAGGCTGCCCAATACCACTCGCCCTTCCATTGATGAATGAAACTAAACAATACTGAATTTCATTGTGTTTGTTTTGTTGGCTTTAATTGTAATAATTCAAAGAGTGGAATGGCTGGGAAGTTTTCTATTGCACACAATCATTTCTATCACCTTCGTTTTCAATTCCTGTGTGTTCAATTGTGTCACCGACTTCAGAAACAAGTCACCATCTCCTCCATCTCCCTCTCAATTGGAAACTCTAGACACAAAGTAACTTAAAAGGAATGTTCGATTTTCAATACAAATGGCTCCCGTTGATTAATTAAAAGACACTCGCCGTTGATATGTTGCCTTTTGAAGAAACTATAAATAAAACCATGAAAATTTATGTTCAAAGTAGACAATATCTTACCATAGTAAAAGTTCATTGTTCCTAATAAGTGATATCAGAATCATGCCCTTAATTTAGCATAAAAGACACTCTCCATTGATATGTTGCCTGTTGGAGAAACTATAAATAAAATCATGAAAATTTATGTTCAAAGTAGACAATATCTTACCATAGTAAAAGTTCATTATTCCTAATAAGTGATATCAGAATCATGCCCTTAATTTAGCTATAAGAATAGAATTCAAGTGTCTGCAAACTAATAATTATATAAATTGAAACTCGAAACTTTCATAGGTGTATCAGTTTACACCACGTATCATATCCTAGTTGAGAAACACAAGTATACATGTATGAAAACTTGTAATTATATCAATTGAACTCATGAACATCAACTAACGAACTAGTTTCCAGATCCAAATAGATGGTCTACACACATGTGACAACTGATGCATATACAAATTTGACAAATTTATGAATTTGGGTATAGGTAGAATCGTAAGTTTGCACACTTTAAAATAGAATTTGATATATGAAATGCGTTGTTATTTTCTCAACTCCTTTCTCATACTGCATCTATTTACAATTTCATCTCAAGCACAATATATACAACTATAAAATATAAATTCATGAGTTTATCATGCAAGAACTCTACTATAAATCAACATAGCATAAATTAACTGGTAAAAGAACAAACAAGGTTGTATAAGAAGTTCAGAAACGAAAGCTAAATGGTTGAAAGAATAAAAGACCTAAAGGTAACAAGCGTAAATTGTTCACAAACTAAAACAAAAGATTTAAACCATGATATGTAGTTACCATTTGGAGGACTCGTTGCAGGGGTATGAATAAGTGAACTAGGTTACAAGCACTAAGATGCAACGGGTGAAGCAACAAGGAACTGAAAGGGAGAGAATTTTGGCACATGAACCCCGGAATTCATTTATAATTGTACAAAAAGCTTACACTAGACTACTAGTATACAATATGATTCTCGTTTATAACCAATAAAATTATGGTTGGGCTAGTTTTGCAAGAATAACTAAATCCAAAATCTTAACATCAAGAGTGTCGTCTACCTTCACTATTCCATCGGTGCCATCCACACCAATCAACTTCCCAGTGGCGCCACGCAGTGCACCACCCATTATCTTGATCTTGTCCGACTTCCTAGGAACAATGGCTTCTATGTCGCTAGAAATGGCTGTTATCGTTTCACCATTTCCACTTGACCCAAGACCTACCCTACATGAGCCATCCTGAGAAAAGCCAAATTACCCAAATCAACAATATTCTTATCATATACCCAATCGAACTACGCTTATGATAATGGCTAGCTTATTTTTCGTTAACAATCACAGATATGGAACGAGGGTGGTATGCATTGTTGGTTCTCGTTTTTGAACCCTGCCTCTTTCTAGACGTCAAAACTCTCCATGTGAAATTTGCTAACCTAAAGGTTTCCAAATGTTCTTGTTAGCATCATCAAAGTAGCCGTAATTCTATAAACGGCCAATTTTAGCATGCTACTCCACCAATAAAGAGCCATAAGGGTAGCTCGTTTCCTTTTTCTTTATCAGATTTGTAAGTTCCTTGTGGTGTTCTATAACCAATTTCTCCGTATTACAGTTACATTTTTCTTAAGAAGTGATAGAACGCGGTGCTTATGTTCATATCTTTCCTGCTTTCCTATCTAGACTTCTGTCATAAACTAGATAAGAGAGAATTTGGGAGAAACAGAACCGTTGGACCTTGTATGATAATGAAGCTCATTGTAACCTAAAGATTATTAGGTTATTCAACATAAACTATGTCACACTGAACTGGGGCCAACACTATCCACATTTTCCATAAGACGGCCAGCCACATCACGGATTACTCCCATGATCAGAAACAAATATGTAATAATGTACAAATAAAAAATAAAAAATAAAATGTAGAGGGCAAAGATTTAGTAACTTACCGGAAGCACCTCACGGATTACTCCCATGATCAGCTCATCTCCTCTCCGGACATTGACCAATATGTCTGGCATGTACCATGGTCCGTCGGCATCACCACCTGCCATTTTAATTTATTTTGTAAAATCATCAATACGCCAAAAAAAAATATATATATTGGAGATGACAATGTAAAATGGACAGAAATGGATTTCCACGGTCATGAACCCGTTGCAAAACATTGAAATTCCTCAAGTTTGATAAACGTACCCTATGGTATAAATTTTATTCCAGATCTCTTGAGAAGAAGTCCAATTTTTCTTGAGGTAGTTTAAATGAGCCCTTATACAATATTATTAGAAAAAATGAAATCTGTATTGATGCAGACCCCCCAGGAGCTCCACTCAGCATTAATTTATAGTGGCAAATCTAAACGACAAACTGTTGCGAATTCTATTTGTAGCAAAAGTTTATTAATATTTTTGTGATGAACAAATTATTTAAAATTAAGCCCGGGAAAAATCATATCATACTGGTATATAGAAATACAAGCCATGCTAAAAAGAGTAATACAAACCTATAACAGGAGACATCATATCCAGACCACCTGTGCCTGGTGTCATTGGCTGCCCGCCAGGAGTACCAGGAAGATAGGATGCTGAATTTGGTGTCATGGGCTGTCCACCAGGAGTTGAAGGCAAGTATGGGCTCGGGGCATTTGCTGAAAACGAAGAGAAGCATTATTAAGATAAAATATGTCAATTACTAGGAAACGTTAAAATAAAGACAAATGCACCAACCATAGGCTGAACCACTATCCCGAGGGGTACCGGCATCACTGTAACTGCCACCAGGAGTGTTGGCCCAACCAGTACCAGGAGTTGGAGCTTCGTAAGTTCGTGAAGGAGGGCTTCCTGGCTGAAGAGAGAACAGCTATTATTGACTTTAATGGTTAATAAACCAGAATAGTTATTGGCCTTTGGCAAATCATTAAAGATCTAACCTGGTACTGTGGACTCGCTCCCCAAGTTGCAGGGTTCCCTTCCTCCCAGTTCTCCCTGGTTCAGCAAAATCAGAACTTTTAACATCAATCATCAAAGACAATAGCACAAAAAAATTTCAAAAAGAGAGCTCAAATGGGTAATCCGTGCCCAAAATACATGATGCAAAATGGAAAATACAGCATAACAGATCAAGAAGCTGTATAGTTATTGATATATGAGAGATTTATCCACAGCCAAAGTTGTTCTCCACATCAAACGAGTTCCTAGAGCAGCAATATACAACACGTGCATCATCACATCTGCCTCTGGGTGGTCCAGGTACAGGATTTGACTATCGCACTGCCACCACTCGCACCATATAACCAGTCACTTTCAGAAGGTAACTGATGGTGAATAGGTACCAACTATGACAGTTTGCCTTATGAAAGATGACATACCACATCTTGTCTGACTGCTCTTTATTCAAGCTTTTCTAACCCAACGTTCACTGATGAGACTTGATGAGGGAAAAAATTGAATACTGAAGTAGATTAAATAGATCTTAATTCTACCACTTCAACAATTAATATACATAATGCTCCATTTTTATTTTTTTCAAATAGCCATGTTTAGCATAAACCAGATGGTGCTTTCTTCATACTTCTGGCATCTAGCCCTAAGAGCTACAACCCTTAAAAATACTATATAAATTCAGAAACGCAGAGTAAAACAGTAACAAGAAAATGGCCAAGCAAAGAATTATGGAGAAAGAAAGAGGCAACAAATATACATCCAAGAAATAGTTTCCAAATTTCCAATGCAAGACTGACAAAACGTGTAAAATACAAATTATAAACCTTCATAAGCAATAGCATCAATATTTTCAAGCTCATTCATGATATGGAAGCAGTTCGATACATCCTCAAATTTAAGTTTCTCACATGTTCTAACCGTAAGACAATATCCAAAAAGTAAAATCATAGAAAAGAATTAAAATAATAATAATTTATGGAGCCTCTATAGCACATATATTCTACGCTGTTATCCATATTATCTTAATAAATTTATCAAGTTCATTAATCCATATAAAATTTACCTTGACGGACTCATGGGTGCGTATGGATTCCATGCTCGATTTCGCATTGGTGTCCTCATGCCATCATGACTTGGCGTTGCTATAAAAACAGATAGTAAAACATGAATAAACCTTGTAGAGTATAATAAGAATTAAAAAAAAGAAGGCAACATGGAAAGAGAACTAACTTCCCATATCTCTCATTGGGGTCATGTACGGATGAAGAGGAGTTCGAGAAGGATGCATGGGAGTTTCACTTCCCATACCATATCTAGATGTATCACTGGTACAAAGCAAGCATTAGAACCTTGAAATCACAAGAAACAAACAAAATCAATTTAATCATATATTATATTTACCGATAGGGGGTTGAAACAGCCACATTATCTGAGATAAAATTGCGGTCAACTGCAAATAAAACAAGTATTATGGTGTTAATGGAAAATATTTCACTTCCATTTGAGACTTAACATTTCCCAGACATCCTTCGAAAAAGATGATACAAGTAATCCCACATATATATAACAGGTAGATTCAAGTATTTCCAGAAAAAGTTCAAAACATGCCTGTGACAACTTTCATTTGAGACTCAAGCTCTACTCGAACCAGTTGGCCTTTTATTTCAACAACACGCCCACGGTAACCCTTGTAAGGACCCTGCCGAACTTTCACTGTTGATCCAACCAAACCATCATGATGCCCTCTTCCACCTCTATGTCTTCCACCAGCTGAATCACAAGTAAACAACTTAATAAAAAAACCAGA